GAGTTGCCGTGCGGAGCGTACCAATGACGCGAACGGTAGTCAGTATCAGGTACAAAATATATAGTTGCATAGGACATGAATCGCACTGCTGACGGCATCCACAGCTTAGTCAACAGCAGCGTGCCTCCATTCTTCCACTGCATAACCCAAAGGATTTAAGAGAAAAAAATGTGGAACAGATCAACAAATCTGTGACCTTATATTAATGAAGGAAGACATGGTACAGTGGTGAAAGAAAAGAATCATAAAGGCAGGAATTTCATACATAATGGTGCAAAAAATGTACGAAAAATGACGTTACCACTTCGATTAAGTTCCATATACATAGGCTACAAGCTATGGAATATACTGACACCGTGAGGACCAGTACGCTTACTGAAATTGCTGGTTACACTCGTTCTGCTTAACGGAATCGGTAGCTGTTTAACAGAAGCGAAACATTTAAACTGCGTCTATAGGGCATGAAGAGTATAGCTTTTTTACACATAATGTCAAGAAAAAGATATCATGTTTGCACCTAGTGCTGATTATTACGCTGGATAGGCAAAATGCTATCAGGTTGGTCAATGACAAGAGCAATCAGAAAGGGCGCTCCAATCAGACAGCATGATTGCACACCTAATCTATTCTAGTATGATCGCATCATAAATACCACGCTGTGCCAATTATTCGCAAGACACCGACTATCTACCTGTTTGTCGGCTAACTGCGCCGAAACAACGGTGGGCCAGTTACTTGTTGAAGGGAACTTGTGTTCAAGACAAAGATTATCACTGAAGCAGATTCCAACTTGACAGACTACACATATACATATGTCTTATACTGATAGCTTGGACATCAAGTGGACGAATGTCATCGCGAAGCTGAGGCAAGCCCGCCAACTGGCTTATCGTGTACGGAAAATTAAATACCACGAAAACGAGCAGCGTTCTTCGAACTGGTCGAATATTTGCCAGAAAAAGAGCTGGCGGACAAAGCTTCCGATCTGATTCCAGGAGCCAAACTCAGGCTCGAGTCGTACTCACTTGGACGGGCGTGCTTCCATAACCACTCGTAGAAGAGTAGATTACAGCAACTAAATGTGCAATTGTCATAAAATTGCAGCCTACCCTACTGCATGTCGGTGTCCAAGACTTTACTTCCTAGACGTTTTTGACTGACACGATGGCTTCGACATCAGTACGCGAATAACAAGACTAAACGAACCACAAATAATGAAACGGCATACCTGCTTGATTATTGTCTTCGAATCCTGAATGCAGGAAAAAAACAAACAAGAGTTAGTTTAATACACAACGGTCGATACTGGTGCGGTTGTTTAGAAATGAGGAACGGCAAAACGAAAATAAATTCAGTACCTGTGTGTTCAGTGCGCTGCGGTTTGCTGGCACCGCCACCACTGGTTTCCCCGCTGCCGCTGCCAAACGCTTTCGCGAACGAGTCGCCGCTAACGAACTCTGTAGGAGTGGCTCCATGAACGTGGCCATTACCGGTAAACAGATTGCCTAAACATAATGGAGAAATGAGACAGTCGATCGGCTAAAGTAATAAGCAATCGTGTAACTTGTCATGGATGAAGTACCCGCAGCCACGGTAGTCACTGGTGGCTGCCAGGTGCCACTGTCGCCTGTCGTGTACGTCTCTGACAGTTCGCTAGCAAACGGATTTGTGCTCAACGACAGAAGGTCGTTCACGTCTTGTGGTTCCTGAAAAGACGTTCGTCGTCTACTAATCATCATATGATCATACAGTCGGTATGAAAAACATGAAAGTGCGATGGCCGTGTTTTCTGAGCAATCATAATGCAGCGAGGAAACGTCGTCACACTAAGTAACAAAATGTGCCTCTGCCTCTTGTGACTAACACGGCGTAACGGCGTAAAATTCGCGGTTATGTTTAACCTCCATGCTCCTCTCTCTAACAGTTGGTTTTTCTTTCGCTAGCTTATTGCTAATGCGCCGCATAAAAAAGTTCTCACTTTTCGAAAAGTCCAGTTTATCGTTCTTCAATACGATTTTTGTTCAATAATATACGACTGCTTGCCCCCTGTTAGTGTCATTATTACTTATAACGAGTTTTTAGGTCAACTAGGGCAGTTCGATTCGAGTTTATGAATCGAGAATGCTCACATTTAAAGAATGCGACCTTTAAACTGTGCGGTATGAGACTGTCACTAGACAGGCTGGCACTCAAGTCCTATTTGCCATTTCGTTCATAAAACTATTCTCAAATACTGTTATTTGCTTATTAAAGAGAGACTTCCGATTTACTTGACAGAAAATAATGACCACGAAAGTATTGCACTCGTGTTCTAGCATTTCTGTTCAAGCATCAAACCCTTGTACTATGTCAAATGACGATGTACCATTAAACTACATTCGAAAGATAGATATATTCAGATATGCACATAAGAGCAGGTTCCTTGAGTGCTTGAGAAAAATCTTGTCAAGACGTTTCTCAATCTAAACTTTCAGACGGCAAAAAATTACAGGCCCTGATGGGGAAGCATTGGCACGCTTTTCGGCAAGCGTCACAATGGGATATGAAATCTAAACATGAAATTCAATTTTATGAAGGCTAAAACTAGGCTTTAAAGTGAAAAGAAACGACGGCTGCCAGACGGTCATAAATAAGTAGCGGACTTTGCAGTTCAGCGAACTGATTGCCAAATTCTTAAAGTAACCTGATATTGCTTGAGCGCTGGATACATGTTCGTTTCGTCGGCAGCCGATGCGTCGACAAACGGATTCTGAGACTGAGCCGTTTTCAGTTCACTGTACTCAAGTTCCTTGATTCGTTGCTCCTACAAACTTTTACGTCGAACCGGCTGATGGACGAAAGCAATGAATTACCTTCAAAAAGTTCATACGTTTCTGTTCCTCTTCTAGGTACTTCTGCTGCATGCTGTCGCTGAATGCCTGCTGCGCATCGGCCGCCGCCTGCGCGTCCTGCAGCTCTGCGCTTCGCTGCGTCGCATGTGCCGTTAAACTAAAGCGAACACAACCATACGACCGAAAAGTGCACTTTCATGTTTCTAAGTTTAACTGTTGCTTCCGGAAAGCTTTTGGATGATGAGGACGTTTATTCGTCATTTCAACAAACTTCTCACTGAAAACATGGTTAGCGGTCGACAAAGAAACAACGGCAGGTAGGCAACTGTCTAGCTAAATTAAAGTTTGAACTACCTTGAGTGGATACACATAGTGGTGAGCAGACTGCTTTAATGACCTCTTAAGCATTTAAGAACAAAGCGACCGCGCCAGAAAGACGGAAACCGTTGCGTGAAACTTGCCTTGAAACTAAGCTCATTATATTTCAGCGCGATCATTACCAAGAATTTTGACAACAGAGATCTAAATGGAAAGTTTGCAAATTTCGTTCCTAGTAGTGTATCCTCCAGCTTGTTCAAACTGCTTTACTACGGAAGAACGAGTATTTGATTCATAAGTTCGTTCGTAGTCACACAGAAAACAGCTCAAACAATTTGATCAGTCGGATGATTCATCAGTATCGACGTTTCGATCTGTGTCTTACGGGCATTCTCCAAGGTAGAGGGATTGGCTAGTCTAGCCTTGTCGCCCCTGTCGCTCGAAAACTACCTACGGAGCAGCATGGAACAAAAGCTCCCATCTTGGCTGTGAACGTAGCAACCGCTGCGAACAAGAAGAATTTTACAAGCAGCTTTACTCTGTAGAACGTTTGGTCCATGTAACACAGGCCCAAACGTTAATATAGGTCAATCATCCGACTGACCAAACTGTTTGCGTTGTCGATAAGCAAACCGTGTTTTCTGCTGTTTTCGTGATTCATTACTGGATGGACAACGGTGGCAAAATCTACTTTACTTCCAGCAGCAGCTAGCAGACAATCAATATTACGTTATACATGATTTGATCAACAAATTCAGCAAAATGACGAGTCACGTAAAGTGATTTTACCAGTCAACAACAATTTAATGAGCAGTGGCTTCATCTACGCTCTCGACAACTTTTGCGTTTACGTCCTGAATGACACATGACCCTTAAAACGAAGAATCAAGCGCTGAAACGAAGAACGGTGAGGGATTTTCTCTTAAGTCGCTACTATAGGTAGAAGTCTGTTAAGAACATTAATTTGTTACTAAAAAGTGGAACATGAGGAGGATGAAACATACAGTCAGGTCTAAAAACCAAAATCCGTCGATGAGAAATGAACTAAAATATCGAATCCAATAGCCAACCTCAAGCCTTCTCCATAGAGGCCGTTTCTCACCACAAAATGTTCCCATCATACTGTTTACCCCGTGAACAGGAAGTGATTTTTCTTCTGAGGATTATTCATTTAGAATTCACCGAACGAAGTAATACTTTAGGCACCACTATCCGGACAGTAACTACAAGCCGACACAAATAGACAGATAGTTACATGTGTCAGCAGCATCCTCTCCCACCATCCCGATTTTCCAGCTCTAACAAATACTGTTTGAGAACCTTTAACCGTAGCATTGACAATCTGAAGAAACGAATGGCTGATGACTACTGATTACTCACTTCGTCGTAGGCGACGTTATGCGGCTGGAGGAGCCTTTTTGGCCTTCCAACGAACTAAGATGCTGTTCAAGAGCTTCGAGTAAGCTGTTAGGAGCCTTAGCTAGGTCAGGAATTTCAGACTTGTCGATTCCAACACTCTGCAAAAGCGCAGTCGATTTTAATCATAAACTGTTACGCACGTAAAAGAAAATAAACACTCACCTCGGCAACTTTCAGAAATTCCGACACTTTGTCCATGCGAGTAAGGAACTTTTTGTACAAGTCGAGCGCTTCCTTGCAGTTCTTCTTGTTTAAATCAAAGAATTTTTCTGAAACATCAGTCAATACAAAAGAATTCAGCATCGTGGAATAAACCTAATAAATTTATAATGCCATCGTTGTAGCAAGCGAAAAGCCGTATGAGGTCTCGAAATAGCAAGATGAAGCAGCTGTTTATCACACCATTATTCAACTCGCTTGGAGACACCTTAAGGCACAAAATACAGTCAATGCAGAAAACGCCCCATGAAACACACCTGGAATTCCAGAAGACAGTCAATCTGTTCCTGTAATACTGGAAGTGTCCGCATAAGCTTGTCGATTGACATTGTTCGCAAAAGCCCATCTTCCCGTCTAGAATAGGAAACAAGTTACCACTGCATACGAGCCGAATGTCTAGTCTTCCACTGACAAAATCATGGCTGTAGAAAGCACCTTTATACTGAAACAAAAGTATGTGAATTAGAGAGTTCAAATTTTGCTAGTAAAAGGCTGATGCTGTTACTGATGTCTTACTTGCTCCATATCTTGAAGAATGTAAAACAGTAAGCAAGCAGATTAATCCTTCAGCCTATAAGCTTTCGGCTTCTCATTCTAAGATAGCATTTTGCACACTTCCGTGTTCATGATTTCCCACTAATTCTTATGATAATAAGAGTTAAGCCTATTGTACCATTTCACTGTACTATTGCACCATTTCTATGCAACTTATTATGCGACAATTTTCTGTTCGAAAACAATGTGGCTATAAAAGTAACGAAACCACTATGACACCCTAAGAAACGTCTTCAGAGCTGTCATATGTTGGCCCTTGTTCAGAACAGTGAAGTTATTTATTTCAAGGAACGTTTTTCATGATTCGATCTTCGGTCGGCGCCTTTTTTTCTTTAGCTATACACAGTCTACATTATACACACTGAACAGGCTCTTCAGGTGATTTTTTTCAAGCTTTAGCTAGCGTCTGGCACCGGTCGAGACGGAAGTGGATCCAATGCAGACCCTTAATTGAACCCAATCAGAGCAATGAATGCTTGTTTCATGGCCACTACTTTCGTCGCAATCTGACTGTATACGCCGCCCGAATGTACCCAACATAGAGGAACCTTTTGCGTGCTCAAAAATATCGCATTTTCTATTACTGTATCGCAAGCTTGTCCTAAATTAAGGACGACCATGCCTCTACTTCATTTTCTGCGTATTTCTGCAGCCAAACGTAGTGTAAAATCCGTTTTGTTATTGATCTAGGCGGCAATCTTTCGATTCTACTTTTGGTAACGTCGAAATATTTATTTAAATCTTCTTTCATCTTTTTCTCATCCAACACAGTTTCACATGGATTCAAGGAATGCCTGAGGCGATTTAATTTCCTTAACTACCCTTAATAGTTTCCGGAGCTCAACATTATGATTTTCATTTGATACGTCGGCGTTGGTGCTCATGACCTTCATGTGTGCAGCATCTTTTCCTACTCCATCATTTAATTAAACAGTAAACACGGCTAAACACTGAATGTCTAAGTGTCAGCCTATTTCAATTCCTTTTGTGTTGGACTCTACCTGAGTTGGAGGGCCTTTCTACTTTCCATACTAACCAACGTTTGTCTAAATAATTGCGCGAGTTTCACTCCACTAACTAATGGTTTCGTTCCATCGCTTTCAAAGTAATTCTGTAGTCTGTGTTACGCAAAAAAATTATTTTTTCCTAAAACTGTTTTCACGGTTAAAATCCCGCATCGTTATTTGTAATTACATATTGAGTAGTGCTACCGAAAAACTCCCATCGGGGCTGTATTTTACGTTACCTTGTATGTATTCACCTACGGATAATGGCGTTTGGCTTGAACATGCTCATGTTTAGTCCAAACAACGAGACGCAGTCATGTGTTCTATGCAGCGCAGGCGCTTAAACGCCATGGAGCTGTGGCCTGTTTAAATTGTCCTAAGCTACTAGAAGCAATGTAATGCGACAATGCGGCAGTATCAGGGAAGACTTCCACGTGTCTTACATTAGCGCAGTGTTGGTAAGAAGTAAGAAATAAATTTTGCTTTCATTCCACTGTGCCTTCCCCGTTAAAATCCGGTACCATTATTTGCAGTAATTCTGCAGCATATCTCATTTAACGACGTCTGAGAAAACTTTTGCAAAAATGTTACGTTTTAACAATTGCTTCTTTAAGGGAAAAAGGCAAAATGCAGCGAGCATGATGTGGAAGGCAAACGAGGAATCATGTTAACTCAAGTGAAAAGGCAAAAACACCACTGCGGTTGTGCAACAATGCAGCGGAAGTGTGAACTAGACCGCAATGAACAGTAGGCGTTGTCTGTTTCCTCAAGAAAAACAGGTCCATGACACAACGCTACCATCGTCATAGAAACAAACAATATCCGGACTTACCAACAGCTAACTGCAAACTTCAAATGAACAAAGAAATCTGCAACCGTGCAATAAGTGCATTTTACAGCATCGCTTTTCATCGAGCTAAGAGTGCAGCACTGTACTATGTTTCGATGCCAAGAATGCCCTATTTTTCGGGAGGCAGTTTTAAAGCTACATGACTACTGTAACAGGTGGTCTGCTTTCTTTCCAAGTAGTGGTACTCCGTTATTTAGGATAGAAAGATAGAACGCGAGTAGTCCGGCCGAAAATTAGAATCGGTGAAATGTCAAGTCTGTGCGACAGAGACTGCCGCAAAAACTACTCAACCACACGTTGCGCCCCTTTCAATATCCTCCTGAATTAGACCGAAAAGATCTGAACTTCTAATAAGAAAATTTTGTCAAATAATTAGACGAATCGAAAGTGACTCAAAACATTAGGAAAATGAAGTTTCACGGTAGCTTTCCAATCTGGCAAATTTTATTGGTACTCGAACATTCCCTTGTTCATCCCATCTCAGAGATGCGGCTTCGCATCTGATGCACTGCAGGAACCTAAATACCATGTAGCCGCGGTATACTTAAATGTTCGCCCTAGGCGACTAAATGCATTTTCGTTGCGTCAATCAGGTACCGGCAATAGATAAAATGTTTGGCATGGTTTCTAAAAGGAAAAATTCCACTTATAACTGCGAGGACGCACTGCTGTGCCTTAGAATCCACGGAATGAAGTTTTTCTGAGATGGACACCAGGATCGTTAGAAAAAATCCCCCGAATCTTTCGTTTCTGCGACTGGATAGGAGCGAATGACCTGTGAAGGCTGATGTAGTACCTTCGTGAATGAATAATTGTGTTCATTATTCCGACTGTAACTTAAACGTCCACTCTATGCGATGTGAAAATTATGGCAAATTATTGATAAGTGAACTCCTCTTATGGCTACCTCATCTCTATCTCCCTCAGTCGTTCATACGCAATAGTAGCTTTCACTAAAAGAATAAAGAATGCAGCAAAAGAATATCTCCATCGTCACGAAGATAAACATCAGTTTTTGAACTACATAAAACACGATCACTGCTGCCGGTAACTTTCAACTTACCCACGCTTCACTTTGCAAAAGTCGAACGCCATCGTACGGTAGGTGTAGATTTTCTTGCCGATGTACTTTGCGTAACGACGTATGTGCGTGGACATGTCGTAACCTTGCACAGTAGTTTTGTCCAGGAAGTTGTTGAGGTTCACATTTGTGCTACTCGACGCCAGGTACTGCAGAAACCGCTAAACCACATAACCAAATGAATACAGTTCGACTGCAAGTGACGCATCGTTGTACCTCGTTACCGTAGCACATCAGATTATGAATGGTTATCAACGACTTGAACACGACGCACCAGTTCGTGTTCTGCGTTCTTTCGATCAACAAGTTGGCCATTTGAGGAATGCTGACGTTCGGCTCGTGAGAACAATGAAGCAGATCTAAAAAATACGAAATGTTTATTATGGCAAAGGAAAAACGTACCAAGTAAAGTTTGCCGGCTCGCGTTGTTGTCATTTATCGTTTTCTTCAAAAGCTTTATATTTCTGTTCATATCATTACCTTGAGCCATCTGCACAAGCAGAATGCCTCTGGTTTGTGATGTCCTGAGAAGCAGCACTTTTTGATACTTTTGCTAAGGGGCGATTACTGAATCCCAGAAGAAAATATTACTCGCGGGAAGTAGGTCTGCATGTACCCTGTTCCTCTTTGTTGTATGCTGGCCTCGTGGTCGATGTCAGTCGTGTTCCGCTTTCTCACAACAATCTCACAGGCTGCCGTAAACAGTGTATCCTCAACCAGCTTGTCTCGCAAGGTCAACCACCTTTTCTTAACCTCCACATCTATGGAGGTCACTTGGGCTCAGAAGGAAATACAGCCATTTCTTATGTAGTCATGTCATTTAATCCTCATTACGCGTTAAAGCTAATGCTGCTGTGCACCGCAGTTCTTGTTCCATCGTTAGAAAAATGTCTCAATGGCGTACCACAACGCTGAACTGACAGAGACAAGGTACAAACGGAAATTTGTGGCAAAATTAACTCTTTTCTTTGCCCAAATATTGAACAGGTTTCCTAAAGCACTCGAAACTAGAACGATCATCCTATTTAACTCTGGCTGGATAGTGCCATCGCCGAAGATGATGAAGCCGAGACACTTCAACTGGTAAGCCTCCGGAGGAACTTCACCTTCGCGTACCACTTGCGTCGGATGGATGACTACCTGGCGTTAAAAAAGCGACCAGCATTCGCGGATGTTGCACACGGAAGCCGTCCGGTGAAAGATAAACTAT